GCAACTTCTCTAATGCTAGTCAGACAATGCTGAAAGGTCAATAAAATAAAAATACTAAATATATATATAAATGTATGATATTACAAGATTTAAGCTATTTAAAATAAACATTTGTGATTTCTTGTTATAATTTATAGTCATTCTAGAATGAAAAAAACATAGTTTGTGTCTATTTCCTAATTTGTTATGGTGGATATGAGGTCAGTCAAACAAACTAAACCCATACAGAGAAAAACTGTGAAAATAAAGGGTAGAATATAAATTTTTTTGAAGAAATTACATAATTATCTGGAGGATATAGAGATTTCACATGTAAAGTTTGACTATTTTCTGATGCGTAAAAGTAATTTTAATCTTAAAATTAAAACATTGCATAGATAGTCAGTATTTAAAAAGAAAAAAATGCTTGAGTAAATAATTAATTAAAAAATCTTAAAACTTAATTTAAAATCTGATATTTTGTGTACAAAAGCCTCAAAATGCTTACTGATAATCTTGAAAATTTCATGAAGATATGCATACATCTTAAAAGTTACAGTATTACTGCTTTATGGTTACTTTGGGGGATGTGGGCTAGGTGGAATCCACCCACCTGTAGTGAAAGTGTTAATTTTAGGGATTAGGCCACACACAGTTAAATAAAAGATCACCCTGTAATTTTTCACTTTTACTCTTTGTATTTAATTAGTGTAATAACATATGTGTTGCTTTAAATAGTATAATCTTGTCCATTTGCATGTACTTCCAATTTGTTTATATGTTCTTGGGTGAAGTCCATCTTACTGTGAAGACTTGAACTCTTTTGTATAAACCTAAATCATTTGGCAAGTGTCTAGTTTGTCCTGATGAAGCTGTAATGGTGAAACAATTGTGTTTTCTGGAGTAACAGGTTGTATTTTATTTCTCCTTTTAACAGTGCTACAAACTTTCAAGTTGCATAGTAAATTAAGGTTTAAAACTTCACAGTGTTTGTAAGCAAGGAAAGTAGCTCTCTAGTAAACAGATTAAGAGAAAGAAAATCATCCCAGATATGATATATTTATTGTTTTATTAGCTTCAAAAATGCCCCCCAGTGGCACAGCGGTATGTCTGCAGACTTACAATGCTAGAAACTGGGTTTTGATACCCGTGGTGGGCACAGCACAGATAGCCCATTGTGTAGCTTTGTGCAGAACTACAAACAAACAAGCAAGCTTCAAAAATTTGAAAACAAAAAAACTTGCAGAAAGTTGAATTTTATAGAATTTGATATCACCAACATTAAAAATTCACCATTTTGAAACTGTTTGATCCAAAAATAAGCAACAAACTTTTATAAAGATTTCAGACTGTTTGTGCATTGCCAACTTGTATCTGTGCAGGTAGGAAATTTAATATTTTCTAACATCCTAATGAAAATTACACCCTTGGGTTAGTCATTTGATTTTTTTAATAACTTTATTGAAAACAAATTAACAACACATATAAAGAAAAAAATTTGAAATTGCATCATTTTAGTTATTATTTTATTTTGTAGATAATTTTAGAGGAGTGGTGAGGCAGAATTTTTCAAGTCTTTTTGCCTCCTGTGAAAACACATTGTAACTAAATTAAAGTGGGTTAAAACTTGAAGAAAACATCATTTGGTACTTGCTCATTGTGCTTTTAATATTCAGTCTTTATACACAACACCAAAGGATTAACATGTATGTGATTTAATGCATTTCTAACATTTCACATAGAATGTTCAGGAATATTGCTGATGTTTTCTCTTAAAAATTTAACCCTTTTGCAATTGTAACCTGCAATTTGCATGGAAGCTGACAAAGGAATGATATATGTGCAACAAAATATGTGGTAACAATGAGAGTTCTAAATGCATCCTCACAAACACATGCAAGATTTTGTTAAAGATTATAAGTATCTTGTACACAAAGAATGACATTTTAATTAAGTCTTTATCCTAAGAATATGTTATCTATTTGTTGTAGTTATTTGCACTAAGACTAAATAGACTGATTTTCATTTTAAGTATATAAATTATTTTATTTGCCTTATAGTTTTCGAGTTTTATTTGCATAACCTCTAGAATCTCCTAAATGAATATCAAATGTTTTTGTTTAAGGTAAATGTTTGTAATTTATTTTTCATTTTCTTTACCATATCACTACTGTAGATATTATCATCATCATACAGTGCAATAAAATGTTTAAAATTATGAAATAGAAAAATGTACATACCCTTTAATATTTCTGAGAATATCTTAAAAGATCTTTTGGTGATATTTGTAATTTCAGGTCTTTTCCTTTTCACATATACTTAATTTTTAATGTTTTATTTTCCTTTCCTGTCCTTTACCCTTTATGATTCCTAGTGACAATTTAGCGACAACCTTGGGGGGGGGGGGGTATTATGGTATCTTCGGGAAAGATGTGCGAGCCTTCAGTAAAATTATTATACACTTGTGCAAGATCGTAAGCCTTGAGAACTGGGACAGTATTTGAAATAAATTTAAAAAATGTTTAAACCTTTCAGTTACGCATTTTAAAGCCTAAATAATACATAATTAAATAAGGTATAAAAGTAAACCCTAAATGCAATTTAACTGTCTCTCTAACTATAACATATTTAGTAGGGCTGAGACGAAGTATTCAAATATTCCGAAGCTTCAAAGCTGACAGAGACTTCGGATCTGCCAGTGCCCATTTGAATTTTCACACGTTTATTTATACGTATGCGCTATGCATACAATTTTTGATTAGAAAAAATGGCGTCAGATAAGGGCACGGTTGGAAGTAGTTGTAAAAAGGTTTCGGACGTATGGAGTTTTTATAAGAAACTTCATGACCGTAGGAAAGCCATGTGCACTATTTGTAAAAAAGACAACAAACCTATGGAATCACCTCGTGTCGAAGCACTCGACTCTTTACTGTCCGGACATCGAGACAACCACAACGGAGAGCAGGAAGACGCCTACCCTTGATGAAGTCGTAAGGCCTGCGAAGTGCAATGATACACGTGCAAAGAATATAACAGACAGAATGACTTAAATGATCGTTCAAGACCTACGCCCCATTCGAATTGTTGAATGTGATGGTTTTCGTAACTTAATGAAGTACTTGGAGCTGGGATATGTCTCACCAAGCAGAAAACAATTTACCGCTGATATCAACCTTAAACATGCAACGTGCAAACAACGTCTGAAAGAAAGGCTAAGTGAAGAAGCAGTGTTTATATCGTTAACCACGGATATATGGACGAGCATCGCGACGGAAAGTTATGTCACCGTAACAATGCATTACATTGATAATAGCTGGGTGCTACAGGCCTTTGTACTGGAAACCTTACCTTTCCCAGAACAGCACACGGGGATAAACATTGCAGAAAAGCTGAAGAAAGTGGTGGAAGAATGGGAGATTATGGAGTATGTAATGCTGCTAAATAAAAGCTTCCAGATTCCAGAAGGCCTGTAATCAAACTCTAGGAAATCTTCCTTGCTCAGAATACACAACTGCTGTCCAGTCATATTAAACTTTGACAGGTCAAATGCCTGAAGGTCAAACTCATGTACAATCAAACTGTAACAAATTAAATACATACATTGTTATAATATAACAAGTATACTCAATTGTAAGAAGCTTCAAAGCTTTGGTAATTATCTTGCAAGAAGCTTCGAAGCACTACTTATAATATTTGTTTCAGCTCTAATATTTAGGTAAGAAATAACTATAACTGCTATTGTGCACAAAGCAACCAACAATACTACTGGCAATTACATCTACCTGATGACAAAAGCTCAGTGCCAATTTCAAAATAACTTGTTGGATTATAGTGTAAAATGAATTCTTTCTAGTGACTATATACATGCATGTAAAGTAACTACATGTGACATGTAAAGCTCAAGGAATAGTATAGAAAATGAGTGTGGCACCTGTCAGGGGTTAGAAAAATTCATTTCTAGTATCAAATGAAAACTTTGCTATCAGCATTCTTTAAACATTGCTAAAACTGAGAATAGTAAAAATAATTTAGGAATAAGCTGTGAAAAATAAGAACAGCATATTTCTTTATATAATAAATATAAATCTCAATAATAATAGCATGTTGCTTAAAACCTTAGTTCTTGAAAAGCTACATTTCAAAGAATATAAGATTCTCCAATTTTTTTTTCATTAAAATTAACTTGTTCTTAATTTTGTTATATTGTATGTTAATTTGTGTAAAACTTAAACCAAAATAGTACTTTTGTGATGTTTCTTTTAAAAGTTTAGTGTAGTTGCTTTTAGCTTCAACTCTGTGAGTTTGTTTATTAACTAAAATGATACTTTTTTTTTTAAATTGACAATATTTCAGTAAATCTAAGTAATGTGTTATGGATAAGTATCAGGTGTAATTAAACCTTAATAACAAATGCCAATTTCATTGATTTGGAGAATATCCTACTTTTAAGTTATAAGCATACAAAGTTTTTTATCTCAAATTATTGAAGAAAAAAACTCCATGAAAATAGGTTAAAAACTTATGTCTTTAGTAAGGATATCTTAATATAAATATAGTTGTTAATGTTTGATTTAAGCAAATAAATCCTCATGTATGGAATTAGAATAATTTATAGAAAATGTAGTACATTAAGTTTTAGGTTTAAACCTTATTGTGTATTATTAAAAAATGCAATTTCCTGGAGTTAGTTTTCCCCCATCTCAATGAAGTGGTACTAAAATTCCTGTACTATTTTCATTAAAATTGAACTATTGTTAGTTCTTTGCTAAAGGCTGTGATGGAAAGATAACTCTGTGAACTAAGGAAGTGTGGTAGAATTATTTTATTTTCAAAACTGCTTAGCTTTGATCTTGCACTTTTTAAAACAAGAGTTGTGTAAACTGGCATCAGAATGTTTTAAATATTTATTCATTAAGCTACATTGACATTTAATAAACCAGTTAATTGATCACTGACTACATTTTAATTTAGGATGTTAATATAATTACTGTTAAACTGATCACTTTTCTATTTTTTTAAGGTTTTTTGCATGAAGAATTTGTAAGCATTCAAAATGCCTCTTTTTGGAAAAATTGTGATAATCAAACGTTCGGGGCAGGATGGTTCAACCTTTCCTTTAATTGCAGACAAGTGTTTGTTTGGGAGGTAAGTCATTCAGAATTATAGCTGATTTTCTTTTTGGTTGCATTTACAACAATAATTCACAAATAGTATGTACTTGATGTAATTGATTCATGAAATGAATAAAATAAATCAGTCATAAAAAAGTTTAGAAAATACTTTGAGTTTGTACTTCTAGAAACAAGTAAAATAACAACACGTACGTTAACATTTGAATTGTGACTGTAATTTTTGTTAGTTTATAGTAACTTCATCATAAAGTCACCATAAAACCAAGTTATTTTATTGAAATCAGTCTAACAACATTGAGAGAACAAAAGACTGCTTTTGGTTTAACCCGATGACAACCTGCTACTAACTTTCTTAGTAGGCAATGCAAGTCTTGCTATATTTCATTCCAACAATAAAACTAGTGGATGAAATTGTTTGAAACTTCATAAGACCTTTCATAAATGCATGTAGTTTAAGAAACATAAAGCCTGTTACTTTGGATAAATTTAGTTTTTGCATTATGATCTTTAATATCTTGGAAAATTACACTAGGAAATGGTATTTATAAGAAATGATTACGATATTTATATTTGTTCCAGATTTGAACTTGTTACTTTTTATGTTTTAGTACATTATTTTGAAATCCCCCAAAATTTGTATTGTCCATAAAATGCAAATTTTATCTATTTTTAATTTTTTTAATAATCACGTACTCTCCTTATGGTTTCAAGTAATATACAAGACCGGAAAATAATATTTGTAAATAAATCTAAACAATAAATTAGTATCTTTATTTTTAACTAGGATTTCATGTTTATACATGTGCATAAAAACATTTTAATTTTGTTTCATAAATATATTTTTATTTCAAGTTTATGTTTATGTTTCATTGCAGTCATACTTTTGTTTATTATGCTGAATAAACCATGGGGTCAGCAGCATGAACTTTGTATGTTTTCCGTAAACTATCTCGCCCCTGTTGGGGGTCACTCTTGTTCAGCCCAGCGTGGGTGCATTTGAACATTACTGTACATATGACAGTAAGAAAGCTTTTCGGTACTTCAATATCATTTTGAACTTTCAAACAAGTTTATTTCAACATATGTCCGTGTATGTTGTTTCACTACAGAGACAAAAGTAATTGCCTGAGCCTGACCCCTTGTTACTTGATACATCCTGTTAGAAAAGATTAACAAATGATATAGACACTATAAATTACAAAGAAAATTACTTGACAGTACTTAAAAGATTAGTCCTGGTCACATTCCTCTCATTATAGGCAAGATTTATGTTGGAATTCGAAACTTTAGCTCTTCAATGTATTGAGACCCCATCTGTGAGAATGTCATAGCTTCCCTGTATTATTGAGATGAATGTATTTAGCCTGTTTCACAACCAACATATGGGTTTTATTGTTGTCACTTGTACACTGAGTTTTAAACCATTTGCAAAATATCAGAATAAACTATATATATATATGTGTGTGTATCAGTTAGACTGTTTTAATTGTAAAGCAATAACAACAGAAGTGTATGTCTTACTACAAAGTAAAGATTGTAAGAAGGAAAAGTATAAAATTCTTATGTGGTATTGGTACTAGTAGTATTACGTACAAATCACACAAGTTTATCATTCTAAATACTGAATCATATTATTATTATTAACTAAATATAAAATTATGCTAAATTATTGAACTTAAAACTACAAATTTAAATTCAAAAGAATATAAAAATCAGTTCAAAGTCCTAAGCCTAATTCATGTAAAGACCTTGCACTCGCCACTCGATAGCTCTTGACCCTAACAATCTTGAATCAACGTCTTTCTTAAAAAATATATCTATTTT